GCACGCCTACCCATGATCCCAGCACTTGGGTCAGGCATGGTAGTGCACACCTACCCATGATCCCAGCACTCAGGAGGGTAGAGCAGGAGGGGCAGGGTTCCAAGGCCAGTTTGGGCTACATAATAAGTTTGTGGCCTGTAAGCATTACAGCTCAAATGGAAAGGTATCCTGGCAGTCAGGAGCCAAGCAATACCACAAAGTCACACCACACAACAAACCTCACACAAGAGATTTATTGGGAGAGAAAAAAACAGGAGGGTGACTGCCTCTGCTTGCGCAAAAACACAGCAGCAAACCAAACAGGATACGGGGCTTTTAGGTCTTATAAACAGGGAGAAGATATGGGATTCCCTTCTGGATGCTATGAATGCTTTATTACCATTGGTTAATATAGAAGCTGTTTCGGCCAATGACTTAGCAGAGTAAAGCCAGACCAGAGAGAGAGAGAGAGAGAGGGAGAGAGAGAGGGAGAGAGAAACAGAGAGAGAAACAGAGAGAGGAGTCAAAGAAACACCATGTAGCTGCCAAAGGAGACAGATGCCAAAACCTTAATAGTAGGCCATAGCCTTGTGATAATCCATATATTAATAGAAATGGGTTAATTTAAGATGTAAGAGTTACTTCATAAGAAGCCTGAGCTAATAGGCCAAACAGTGTTGTAATTAATATAGTTTTTGTGTGACTATTAGGGTCTGGGCTGCCGGAAAATGAATAAGCAATCTCCGACTACACAGGGCTTAAATAGAGTTTCTTGGCATGGGAGTGGAACTTTCCAGGGTGGAGATTGGTGAGATTTCACATCCAGAGATTGAGCTTTTTTTTTTTTTGGACTCTGTAGGATGGGGGCAGGAACAGTAGTTAGAGCATTCTGTGGATGAAACCTAGTAGTTAGAGGTCCTGGGGGAGGCTGGCTGCTCATGTAGCTACAAGGGTGTACATTCCCCTCTTTTTGTTTATTATTGATAAACAATTAGGTCATAGGAAAGAGGGCAATGTTATCACTATCTATTTCCGGCTGAATCAAGGCGTTAGAGTCCTTTGGGAATTTGATCTTCACCATCAGGGTATAATCATGAGTCGTTGGCCTCTGACTGTGTAGACAGGGGCTGGTAATCCTATAATAGCAACTGATTAAAAGTCTGGTTGTAGATCTTTTGAATCTGTTGTTGAAGAAATCTAGACAAGAAGTTTATAAGGCAGGGTGTAACTGTTAGGATTAAGAAAAGCAGGAGAAAGGAGGTTACGAAGAACAGTGAGTCACTAGCCAGAGGTTTCACGCTGTTTCTCACATTTCTGGAGGTCCATCTGTAGTTGCTAGATCTTATCCTTTACCATACCTGACTGGCTGGCACAGAAGCAACATTCCTCCCTGAGGAAGACACAAAGGCCACCTCTTTCTCCTCTTAGTGAATTCTCGATAATTTTTGTTAGCAGTTATGGTGGCCCAGTGAGTTTATCTGGTCCTGTAGGGTAAGGATGGTCTGAGCCACCCATTGGAGATCCTGGAGGAACTGAGAGGAAAACCAATGGTAAACAGCTAGGGAAGTAGTCAGTCCCGGGTTTGGGCACCAAAATGTAAGTGTCAGAGTTCTGATAGAAAGGTATCCTGGCATTCAGAAGCCAAGGAACACCCATTGCTCAGGAGGGAAAGGTGTCCTGGCTGTTGAAAGCCGGGCTATACTACAGCTGTGAAGGGAAAGGCATCCTGGCGCACTTGTGTGGCTTTCATAGTAAAAGAAACAAAGCAGGGAGCTCCATAGAGACACTTACCCAGTAGAAGGAGAGAAGCAGGTGGTTAGAGCAGGTGGAGGAGAAAATAGCTGGAGACGGGCAAGCATGCAAGCGTGCAAGCGTCTTAGTAAAGAGAACTGCACACCTAGTGGGCAGCCCAAGTGTAGAAGACTCTTTCCGAGAAGGTCAGAGGTAAGAAGCTTAAGTCCCCTGAGGCTATGGAGAGAGTAGTCATTGAGCCTGAGAAACATATTTGGAGGGATTTGATAAGGCTGATAAAACTGTGACCCTACCCTGACAACAGGGCAATAAGAAGATGCAGGTCCCTAAAACTCCCATCAGGACTAAATAGGTGGCCTGAGTGCCCAGAGAGAGACAGATCACCCTGATACTGTGATGTCTACTTGAGGCTCCCAGTGAGAGATGGCAGTGGTTAAGTCAAGGGAGCCTGGACCTCTCAGTCGTCCATGGACAGATCTAGGAGGTCAACTTAAGGGTCACCTGGGCTTTATGTGCCCAGCTGCAAGGAACATGGACATAGTCAACACCCAATGCCCTTCTTGATGGCACCTTGTACATACGTGGTCTGGGTGGTTTTTGAAGGATCAGGCAGGCCCATGTTCAGTGACCCTTCTGACTTCATTTGGAACAGGAACTCAGAGGTTGCCTGGCTTTGGGAGGTTAGGGAGCCTGGGCAGTTGCTATGGGCAGTCAAAAGGCCTCTACCAGCACCAGGTACTTTTTAAGGATTTTTCAGCTCTCCCATGGCACACCTTAAAGCCTGTGCAGTCAGGGGTCCTTTCTCTAAGTTTGTCCCTACTATCAGGGAAACTCTAGGAGAAGGAGGTCATAAAGAGTTGTTTTCCATGTGGGGGTCTCAGGGTCCAGACTGGCATATTGTAAGAGGGTCTTTGTGAAGCGGTCCAGGAATTAAGGTGGGTTATCATGCTTGTCCTGGATAACCTCTTGGATTTTTTTCATAACTTACTTCTTTAAGGGTGGTCAGCCAGGATGCAAGTTACAAACCAATCCCAAACATGGATGCCCCCTGGGGTATAGTAATTTCATTCAGGGTCCTGGTCAGGGACTACCTCAGCCTTGACTGGGTAGGCAGCCTGTGACTGAGAAGGAAGAAAGGGAACCAGAGACGCTGGAGAGTAAGTAAGAGAAGGAACTGTGGGTTGAGGCTTGCTAGTGCAACTGAAATAGTGGAAGAATCACCTACTTGGGGCCTCACAGTTGGGAGTTGTTTTTCCTTAGATGGTTTCTGTCATATGGTCACATTCCAAGATGGCAGTGAGGTCACCTGGCAAAGTCCATCCTTTCCAACCCTAGCAAAGGTGACTGTCAGTCACATGGCTACCTCCATCCCAGGGAAGGGAGAGCAGCTAAGGTAGCAGTGAGCCACATGTTTCCTTTAAAATTACCTATATAGAGATTTTTAGCTATCAACCCTGGTGTTAGGAGCTTTAAATTAACTCTTCAGTTATAGATTTTACAGGGTTTTAATCATACATAATATGCTTACAATTCTTGAAGTAGAGGAAGTCTACACTGTAGCTTTACAAATCTTGAGGTAAGATTTATACCTTAGCAAAGATTTTAGAGAGTTAAACCAAAGCCAAAAGAGTAAGGGGTGAGTAGCAGTAGTTCCCGTTGGGAAG